GAGGAGGAGGGATAGGGAGGAGAATAGATGGGAAAGGGGAGGGGGCGGGAGGAGAGGAGGGAGGGAAACTGGTTGGTGTTAAAATAAATGAAAAGAAGTTATTTAAATAAAATTAAAAAGTAAAAAGTTCAGCATGGGCCAGAAAACAGTTGCTTCACAGGTCAGTTAGAGATCTGTCCTTTATTCTGACAGATATGTCCACCCCTAAAGAAATTATAACAGAGTGACATAAACAAAATTCTACATCAAAAAAGTTTTTTTTGTATAATAAATGGATGATAGAGGAGTCAGAGAGATGCATGAAGCCTACTAAGTTGGCCACTGCAATTATTTAAGTGAAAATGAAAGCAATTTGGTCTTGGGTGGTTTAAAAAAGAGGAGAGAGAGAGAGAGAGAGAGAGAGAGAGAGAGAGAGAGACGTGGATAGATCAAGGACTACAGTAAATTGAATATTGATGGATTAGGGTGGGAGATGAGAAAGGATTAGTTGATTCGTTCACTCACTCACTCACTCACTCAACAGTTAACTCATTCATAACCAGCCCATGTCTCTCTGAACGTCCTACTTTGCTTCTTATTGCTGTGACAGAAAAAGCAACTTGGAGAGGAAAGGGTTTATTTGGTGTGCATGTCACAATTGCACCTCGGGGAGGGAAGTAGGCGCAGAAACAGGAACCCAGAGGCAAAGCCTGAAGGAGAGGCATGGGAGGGCACAGATTCCTGCTTGCTCCTCATACTGACACACTTCCCAGCGCAGGCTCCCACAGTTGGCCGGGCTCCCATGTCAATCATAAATCAACAAACTCCCTGCAGGTCAATTTGATGGACTCGTTTTCTCAACCGAGGATGTCCTTATGTCAAGTTGACAAAACACTAACAGCACTCTGGGCACTACAGGACTGGCTCTCTCTCTCTCTCTCTCTCTCTCTGTCTCTCTGTCTCTCTCTCTTTCTCTTTCTTTCTCTCTCATTTAGTTTTATTTCCACATATTTACTAAAAGTGAGGATAAAAGCAATTGAAATCATGACTCTTTTGAAATATGCAAATGACACAAAATTAACCAAAATTTCAGCAACTGAATGTTTATGAAATCCAAGAAGAGAGACCAGAATGCAATGAGCTGTCAGAGTCAGCATAAAGACCAGAGTTAGCATAAAGACCTAAACCAGGGTTTTAAGATATAGCTGTGTAAGTAGAACAGCAGTCACTAGAGAAATACCACATGCAAACAAACTATGCAATATCAGCGCGGTAGAATACATAGATCAGCACTAATTAGGTCCTTTTCATTGGAGGGGAGAGGGCGATGGCGGTGGCGCGCAGGGCCTCAGGCATACTTGTCAAGTGTCCCACCACTGAACCACACCCTGAACCAAATGAATTCTGTCTTAACTAGCATCAGAGCGATGTCATCTGCGATAATCAGACCACATCGCTGTGGCATCTTGTGCAGCGAGGTCAGGGCTGCGCTTGAGTGACACCGACAGAGTCGAGCTTACCAAGTGAAAGGGCAGGCGATTCACCAGGGGATAGTGCCCTGACGCCAAATGAGGAACAAGTCAAAGACCTGGTTAGTGAACCTGAAGAAGAAAAGGCGGCAGGTCTGTGACAGCCAAGGGCCAGCAGTGAGGGGCCTCCAGCAGGAAGGCAGGTACTGACAGCTCTTGAAGGACAAGCAGTTCCAACAGCTAGAAGGTACATGGAGCCAGATTTCAGCGCCAGGGGATGAGGACATTTTAACAGCCACAACCAGAGTCAGGACTTTCTTTTGAGGCCTGTGCGTTCTATCACCAAAGCAGCTCAAGCTAATGACACAGAAGAGACTTCAAGGGGATTCTTGAATTGCTGTGTGCTTGAGCTCTGTAGCTTTAAAATCCACAGCCAAGATGTTCATCATATCTCCAGGAAAAAGAAAACAGAAGATGACTCCTGGCATCCCATCTCCCTGGATCCCACCCAAGTCTTTTCCTTTCATTTGAACATAGTGGGCAGGAGAGTGCCCTCTGAGGATGTCCCTAACTAGAGAGAGACCACAGTTAACTACCAGTGACTCCAAGGAGACCTGGGAGAGAGCAAGCACTCCCCCTAAGGCCCAGAAAAGAAGGGAGAGAGTGGGTACTAGACCTGAATCTGGAGAGTTGGTTCTGCCTTGGTCTCAGAGCCAGGCAAAGAAGTGACTTCTGGAGCCAATTTCTGTTACCATAGATGAAACCCTAACTAATGTTGCAGCTGACCCCTCATTCTGACACTTATGCAGGTTGTAGACTGAGCCACGGCATTGTTCACATTCCTCCTTTATCATCAACAACTGTTAATTTTCAAGAACTTGACGGGGTTGCCACCTGCTATGTCTTTGAAGGGCTTGGCCAGCTTCCACTAACTCTTTCCAAGACATTGTATGGAGCAGTCCTCACACCAGACAGCCTACACATCTGCTTAATGTAAATCAAAGAACCATTGTCAACTGTCAGCAAGCTACTCTTACATGCTGATGGCTTCACCTGGCTAAATACCACACCTGCAGTCTTGATGCACACAAGCACCTGAGTTCAATGTATTTTTATTTGCATAATATTCTTTGAGATTTTTTTCTCCTCAAATTGCTGTTTCTGCAGTGCTTTCCTTTTTCCTTTTTTTTTTCTTTTAGCTGTTCCTTTCTTCACCCATTCAGAAGCAGAGTATGTCTGCCCACTAAGAACGTTATCAGATTCACAAACAACAAAAAGATGCTTTGACTCACCTCTGATATAGTTAAACTACTAAAATGTAGGTTGCTTCCCCCTCCCTTGCTCAGAAGGCGCACAACAATATCATTTAGTTTTTGCTGTCCCTCCAACAGTAAGTTTTGGTATAAGACAGATGCGTAGGTCTCTTAGCTGTATCTATACTCAGGCTTCTCTGAGACAGGGATTATCCCCCTTTCAAAGTATTAATGGATTGTCAAAGCCAGTGTTCCCTTTCTATCAAAAAGTGCCAAGGGGAACTCATGCCACAGTTACCTCCCTAGGTCTCTTCCCAGCCACTTTGCCTGCCAGGAATAAGAGCCACAAGACCCAACCTACGCAACTGCCCATCCTAGCGCCCCGGGGAGCCCCTTTCTCTTTGTCTTGGAATGAAAACCACGGTCAAATAGAAAAACCAATGTTGTCAGGGCACAATCTATGGGACAGCCCCTCTCCCCATGCTATGCACCATGATATTCCAGTGCACTCCAGTTCTTGGGATTCCCTATTACTCATTCCTTAGAGGAAGGCAGTTTCTGAAAGCCCCCATACAAGGCAAGCACCATGTGGAAGAGAAAAAGAGAATCTGCTTTTAGCTACCAGGAATTAAGTTCAAGCTAATTTATCTAATTGGGACATGGAAGTCAGAAGGGAATTGCATGGTTTGGCAGACAAGGAATGGAAGGGCACTTAGCATGGTTCAGGGTTCCGGACCTTGGCAGGAGATACGATGTCCAGGAAGCACACTTCACCTCCCGCTACTCTTGTTCAAGATGGCGTCTATTTCCCAGCCTGATTCTAAGAGCACCTACCATATCATTCAGAAAGAACCTTTCCACAGGAGAGCAGAGAGGAGGCCAAGGGTCCAGTAAAAGGTGGTGTGTCTGAGCTGTGGTCCTATGCTTCCTCCCTCTGTCTCTAATGTTATATCTGCCTGGCTCGGAAAGGTGGGTGGCCAACACTAGCCGTGTTCTGGAAGACTTCCCAGGAATTCCCCCCTCTCCTGCTGGCCTGTGTCAGGTATGTTTCCATGGTGAGTTCTCAGCTGCAATCCCCTCTGCAATCTCAGAGACTCCCCGCCCCCGATTCCCACTTCCACCTCATTTTGAATCATGGCCTCTGAACTTTTGATTTTTCTCCTGAAGAAGCCGGTATGTTTCAGTAGCCTGGCTTTCATGATTGTTCCCTCTCCCCATCCACAGCAGATCCATAAAATCATATTCTCTTCGCCACCCAGGGATGATAAAATACCCAAAGCACTAGACATGGCTTCAGCTAGCAGACACAGAACCATTTCTTTGTCACCTAATGGTGGTGTCCCTGTGATTAATATCACCTTCCTGCCAGACGCTTTAGCAGTACAACTCCCTCTGGTACTCGCCATAACTAGGACATATTATGAAGCCAGTGAGCATATGTCAAATGCATAAATGAACTGATATTCAAAACAGATTTCATTTAAGTCTCTATGGATCACATCCACAGTGTGTACAGCAGCAGACCTGATACAGAACCACCTCCCGAGCATGGACTGATACTCATTTTAGTCCTGAGATGAGAGTTTGATCTAAGAAGACCGGGCTGACTCCTTAATCATTATAGCCTGAGGAGTGGGAAGTTCCCTTAGCCCAAAGCTGTCTTTCACCTGTCTCTCCAGCTTACACTGCTATTAATGGAAGCAATATTTTAAGCCTATTTGCAAATAAATGCAAATGTGTACACAGCGTGAGGAACACATCAAACCGCTGTCTGGACCCCTTTTCGACCGAAGAAGAGTAGCTTTTTTTTTTTGCTTCCAAATGAGCTAATGGTCTCTAATGCTGAGATGAGGCAGCTGGATGGGAAGGAAGAAGGGAAAGGATTTCTGGGCCTGTCAGAGTAGCAGAGGCCACTGCAGAGAGACTGTGGGAATTTCCTCCCTCCTCATTGCCCCGGTATAGGATCTCCGGCAGTGCCAGTGCCCACCGAAATCTTTCTCCACAGCAGAGCAGCTGGGAACCCCCAGCACCCCCAAACCAAGAGCAGCTGCCAGCTATTCGGTAAGTGGTACCTTCAATTTTCTGCTTGTCCTGCCTCTTGGCTCATGCCAGCAGATAACTGGATGAAGGAGACTCATTTCTGTAACGGCCCCCATCTGATGTGGACCATCCGAAACTCAAGCCTGATTGCCTAAGGTTGAAGCACATACCCTCTCCCCTCTCTCACCCATCTCCTCTCCAGCTGACTGCCCACCTCTGCACATCTGCCCCAGCTGTAGCTTCTGTCTCCCGTGCTCACCAGGCTGCACATGTCTTGAGGACATACATGTCACCAGTGCCTCTCCACCGCGGCTCTCAACGACCACACACACAAGCACAGTAGCATGCCCGAGGACTACAGGAGCTTGAAAAAAAAGTAGAAGCTTAAAAGAAAAAAAAAAATAGAAGAAAAAAAAGTACTCTTTTTTTTCGATTAGAAAAAAAAAAGTAAAAGGAGCCTTGTCAGCTCCCCACGCCGCCAGGACTCCGTGTGCGGAGAGAAATAAGCTGAGAACTAAGGACAAGCTCAGGTACAGAAAAGGGAAGTGACTAGAGAGACCGGCACCACAGACAGGGGCTGTGTCCGTGCTTGGTTCCAGATAACTTCTGCTGGCAGGTGGGCATTTCCACTGACGAGAATGACTACAAGCATGCCCTTGGAGAGCCAGCAAGTGTAAAGCCCTGAGGAAAACCCCAAAGACAGCCCCTTTCACAAACACAACAGACACCTCCCTGATGCGCCGAGAGTCCCAGGAGTAAAATCTGTGAAGCCCGCGGCTGACAACTACCGTCTGGGCAGTCTCACTCCCAGCCAGAGAGCAGAGGAGCGTTTCTCGTAGGACCTCTCCACAGATCCTTCTAGAAGCCGGTTTCCACACACCACTCTCACTTCTAGATTAGTCGAATCTCATCCTGTGTGACTCTGGAACATTTCTATTACTTCAGTCCACCATGCCTGGCCCCTCCCCCTCCAAGCGCTTGGCTAGTTTTTTCAGCTATGCATTGGCTCTCTAGTCAGGGGGGTTGGATAGGACAACACTTATGTGCCTCTGAAGTGAACCTGGGACAGAGGTAGTTCCATAGAACGAGCCGCACCTGTGGCCCCCTGCAGGACTGTAGAAACAGTCAAGGTCCTTCCTTTTCTACTGGCTGAGGGACATAAATCAGGGAAGGAGTGTGGGTTGGGGTGGGTGGTCTCTCCCATCAAATCCTGGCTTGCTGCCTGAACTCCGGACAGGTCATTTGCTATCTTGGAGTCAGACTTCTGACTGCACCCCAAGAAAAATAGATTTCCTTGCTGCATGATCATAAGAAACAAGTGAGGTTTGGTGGTAAAACTTGCAGGTGACTCACCTGGCATGGAGTAGACCACAAAGTTAACTCGTTTTTATTATTACTTTCTCATTTCCGTCTGAGCCTTTCCCAGTTTTTACTTTGAACTTTCCACAGAGACCATCCTTCTGTTAATAGAGCTCCGGATGGGTCTTCCCAGACAGATCTGAAAACCCAGCTACCTTCAGTCCAGGACTGCTCACAGCCAGCTCCTGCTGGGGCCTGGCTCCTGACTCACACCAGGTCATCACTTCCCTACAGCGACTCTATATACTTATCTTAGAAACATCCTTTATTGGATGGGCTCTTCTGGGATTGGGGGGGGGGGTGCCCTCTGGATTTTACAGTCGTAATTTCCATTGATTTGAAAAGGTCCATGTGGTTTCTTTATTGGAGCACATAAAAATTACCCACTTATTACAGTTCAGGGGAATTCTTTAATATTTCACTTAATTTTCAAGTGTTCTTCTTTTCCGTGAACTCACCAATCAAAATACAAGATGCGGGCTGGAGAGCCATCTCAGCGGTCAAGGGCACTAACTGCTCTATTGGAGGACTGGGGTCTGAACTCCGTCACTCATATTAGGCAGCTCACAAATGCCTACAACTCCATCTCCAAGGAATCTGATATTTTACAAACATGTGCATGTGCACACACACACACATACACAAATAAATAAAATAAATATATTTCTTTATTATAACACACACACACACACACACACACGGTAGGCTACACTGAATACATTGTTATCAAAACTTCTTTTCTGGGGCTCAAATCCAGGACCTTGCACAGTCTAGGCGAGCACTTGTCCACTGAGTTACATCACCAGCTCCATCTAAATATCTTGAATATCAAACTTTTGCCATTGTAGCTGTTCATACCACTTACCATTAGGTGTGTTTTCTTTTAACTTATTATAAGAACATATATTTTCAATCTTTTTATTAATATTAATTTTTTAAGAAAGCAGTATCATTTATTAAAAAAATAAATAAATAAAAATAGCACACTACACTGGGTTTGGGAATTCCCGAGACCCAGGCTCACATCCTGGTTGTGCTGCTAATATGTGTTCTCGCCAGAGTTTTAGCCGTCCTTGCCGTTCTCACAGATGTAATGCTATGTTAAATATGCTTGCATTGAGGATTAAATGAATAGCATACACATGGCGCTCAACACGGATGCTGGCTTAGGGCGGGGTCTTATTCTCTTTTGAGAGGTTGTCCCATTGTTTCCCTCCTTCCACATCTCTTATCTACATGCTTCAGTCCTGCCAGGACCAGCTTCTTCCCGTGGGGGTGTTACAGGGAAGAGAGGGATATGCTGGAGTGAGGAGGTGGGCGGCGGCAGAGGGACACGGTAACACCACAGGATCCTCTCGTTCTAAGAGGTGAGTCGCGAGGCTGTGAAGGACCTTAGAGACAGCTCCAGTCTGCCAAGTCAGGATCTTTCTATGTCACCTCTGTGGACGCGTGTCTAGCCTTTGCTTTCTCACTTGCTATCTATAACTAGAGGATGTGACACCTGTTAGGAGAGCTGGATGAAAATGTCATTGTGATAACAATCCCAACACTACTGCTCCTCAGCCCTGGCTCCATAAGTACCATGCAGATGTTTGTCCTTGTCTCACTTCGTAGACTGTATCATCTGACTGCTTTAAATTAGCTGAAAACATACACACAATCCCCCAGGAGTTCCTCCTCTCAGCCAGTCACTGGAACTCTGGCTCAGCCACTCTCCACGGGCTATGTGGTCTTTAGGACCCCAATCACCAGCATCTTTGCACCAGCACCCTCTCCCAGAGAGAGCAGCAGACATTCTAGCAGAGTGGACCCAGCAGTGCAGAGCTAGCACAACCACTCATCAGTCAAAGCTCATGCTTATCCGAACACAGCCATGGGAGCTGCCTTAACAAGACTTTCTTTGAACGCGTTGGGCCAAGTCTCCGTCCCCTCATCCCGCTTCTTTGTGTGTCAGTGTTTAGGGCCAGCTCTCAGCCAATCAAAAGTCTTCTCTGGCTCCCATCCTTGTCATCAGTGGCAAGGGTGAAAAGGGTGGCCGAGAGATGGTGGCTAACCATGCAGAACACTGACAGAAGGCTGGGCTGGATGATCAGTTCCTGTGTTTGGCGAGGAAGAAGTTACTGGAACCGTGGGAAGCTACTTTCTGCCTGATTACTCCACCTCCTCATTCCCAGATGTTCTCAAACAAAGTCAAGGCTACAAGGAAAAGCAGTGGCAGAGAGGAACTAGAGATGGCATTAGGCAGGTACACGGACATGTCTTCCAGAGATCCTCACCCCATCATTGCCCAACAGATTGGCCTCTAGGGAGTACCTATTTGAGACCTATTCTGTGTGACAGAGCCAAAAACTCGAAAACATTTAAAACTTCCAAACAAAAATTTAGGTCCATTTTCCCATTTTAGCCATGTTTGCAAAATGGCCTGCCATGGCCTGTGATGGAAGACAGTCTAAAAGGATTATTGATGGTAGTAGAAATGGCTTCAGTACAGAACAGAGTAGTTCCCATAAACACTTATAATAGCGTTATTTATTGCGGTGTTTATTATTGTTTGTTTTTCTGAGTATCCTTGATACAGAGATGGGTGCTGAGACAAGGGGACATGAGCAATTGACACCCATGGGATAGGGGATTCTTGTAAGTGGCTCTGCATTGCTACCATCTTCCTTTAAACTCCAAGGGAAAGAGAAGACAAGGGAAAGGTGTGCGGGCTGGAGGGGCAGTGATCACCCTAGTACATGGGCCATAGGGGCAGTGAGCACACAAATACCCATCCCTTTGCGCTCCTATGGTGATGACTTCCTGAGGGGTGGGTGACTCATACCTAGAGAGGCAATAGCTTCAGCTCAGAGTTGTAGTCTCAGCAGATACCATCACCCTCAGCATGGAGAGGGTGGGGAGCTGCCAGACTCATCAGACCACTGTGGGCTCTGCTAGCACAGGTTCTCACATCCCCATAGCAACTAGCACAAACTAGGAGGCAAGGCTCTTCATCAGAAACCAAGTAAACTTCTCGAAATTTGCCTGGGTTGAGAAAAAAAAGAAAGAAAGAAAAGAAAAGAAAAGAAAAGAAAAGAAAAGAAAGGAAAGGAAAGGAAAGGAAAGGAAAGGAAAGGAAAGGAAAGGAAAGGAAAGGAAA